TGGAAGCTCTTTATTGCTCTTCAGTATCATAAATTAGCCTTCTGTAGCCTGATGCCTTCTGGATGTATTGGACTACACCACCATCATTCCAGGGGATGGGAGTTGTAGTCCAGCATACCTGGAGGACACCTGGTTGCCAAAAGTTGCTCCACAGACTTACTATTGTCCATTTCCAAGTTAATTGGATTCAATCTATAAAATCATTGTAGGATCAGTCTACCAAAGCTGTTTGCTGTGTTGCCCCTCTTGATTGCAATGGGGCTTGTGCAGTTCAGAATCCCTAGGAGCCTCAAGGACAGGAGTGGAAGCTGTAGGTCCCAGAGAACATGGCAAAGACATCTTGAAGACATCCTCCGTGTGTCTGGGATCAAAAAAGAAAATTACCTTGGTTCCAAACTTAGGATTTTAATGACTGAAGTTCCGCTGCATGAGAGCTTTGTGCCAAAAGTATGAAGTAAAATTGTTTTACAGTTAGGAGCAAATACTTAAAGAAACCTGAAGTATATATTTAAGATAATATTTATTTAAAGAATATTTAAGGTGATTTTAAAGTGTTGGCAGCAGGATACAAAAATTTTAAAAAAATAAATATGTAGAGCTGTGTAAGTGGAGAGAGATACAAGGAAGTTTCTGTTAGCAAAAGCAAACAAGACAAAGCAAACAGAGACATAAATCAGGATTATTGAGAGAGCAGCCATTTTGATTTGGCCCCTAGATCCCCCTCATGTGTGCCACTGGGATATATTGTGACTGCTGTCCTAAAACCAGAACTAGTCAAGCTGGACAACAGCAAGCAGTAATGGGATACTAAGGCAAAAAGGGAAATACATATGTTGTGCCTTGAAACAATTGATATATACTAATATTTTAATTGTAATACTTAATATTAAAAAGGAAGCCATGGATATTCTGTGGAGCTCTTCACTATACAGAGCATAATTAGCAGGCCCATAATAATAAAAATTAATCATAACTGTATGATGATCAGATTGTATAGTACAACCCTACGCGTGTTTATACAGAAACAGATTCTGCTAAATTCAGAGCACCTCATTCTCTTGGTGTGTTTAAGAGTGCAGCCTCTCAAGTTTTGGAAGTTATATAGACAAGAATGTAATAAGACAAACAGAAGAGTAAATGCAGCCCCACACTGAGGGAAATGAAGACCTAAAGATATAGTTGCCATTCCATGTCCTCTTTCACAAATGAGACATGTTTGAAATCAGTCCAAAAGCCAGTGGCTACAATCTAGTATCATCAGTGAGCTTGTAATAAGGAAGGCGACTTTAAAACAAATTAAGAATTTGGTATACCTCCCTCTAGCCAAAGAAAGAGATGCACTTCAAAATGCTCCATTTTCTATTTGATTTGTCCTTGCAGGAGTTACAATATTTAATATGTAGAAGTTTAATATTTAACAGTGTAATATTACACTATTATAATAGTTAAATAGTTACTGTGTCCAAGCATCGGGTAAAAACATAGGAAGAAAGGTCTTTGAATGGTTTCTGACTGGGCTCATAATGAAGTAGAAGAGGAAGATACTTATAGGTATCATTCACTGCCACTTAATCTACTCATTGCCAATGTGGTCGCCATAGATTGAGCATTTACAGGTATGTACTTGCCACATCTCAATGCAACTGAACAGAGACATTGATTGCCTTATTGGTTTATATCTCAACAGAGTCTATATTTACTAATCTATAACTAACCTATGATTATACCAGTAGTAGCAGAAATGAATTTGTAGCTAGCCAAAGAACATCTCCTCACAAATAATTGCTTTACAAGGATCAAGAAAATTAATATACGTAAAGCATTTTCTTCAGCTAAATAAATAAAGGCTATGTTGAATAAAGGACATTTTTAATTGAACTGGTTGATTTCCTAAGACTTGAACTGCCTAGGTGTCAAAATTATCTTAATCTGGTTTCAAACTCTAGATAGTAGTAGTAGTAGTAGTAGTAGTAATAGTAGTAGTAACAGTAGATTTAATAGTCAGTGCAATGATGAATGCAACAAATGTATTTGGAACATTATGAAGGTTCCATCATGAACCACTTACACAAAATGTTTCTGTATCATATTTTGGAAAAAGTGAGATATGAGCAGAAAGTTTTAGAAATATCATTTGTGATCTACCATGTTTCTTTATATTCATTTATTTTTTTAGGAAGCCATTTTGCTGGAGTTAATCAAGAGAACTAGAACAGATTTTTATTTTGATAAACTGCAATCAAGAAATCAGTCTGGCAAATATTTTGTGGATATTTTTCTCCAGCACCAAAGAGACAAACTGAAATACTGGAGAGAACAGACCTCACAGAAATTCTGCAATTTTATAGCTATGACTTGCAGTCAATATCTCTGTTTCAGGTCCACCTAACCGAGAAAGATGGTTGCCTCTCAATCACATGGCTAAAGAATGGAGACCCAAATTCTTAATATTAAACTTATTTTCACTAAGAAACCTCCTGTGACTAACTGAAGTAAGTATCAAACAAATTTAGGGAGGTAATAAAAAAGCACGCAGCATATAGAGTTAGATCACTGGCTCAGTTCAGTTGTCTGTGCTGTTTGCCAGTGGCTCTTCAGGTTTTAAATCTTTTCAGCCCTACTCTGAGAAGAACATGGGAACTTCAACATGCAATGTATACTATATTACTGAACTCTAGGCAGTCATTTGTCTTCTAGCTGAAGTCAATCACAAATACGCCAGAAAAGAACTGGAATTCTTAACCCGACATCACATGGGTACTATATCATTCCCCATAACCAAATTGCTTAGCAAAATGGATCACATGAACTAAGCCTTATTTAGATTCTTTGAAGGAATTATGGTTGGGTGGGATGGGAGAAAATCTTGAAAGCAACCAGTGTGGCTACATCCTGGAATTTCACATCCCTTGGTGTTTGTCTGAAAGGATCACGTGACAGTATGAAAATTATATCTTCCATTTTGTTTTGTTCCAAAGCTATTTTCTAATATTCCACTATCTGGATAAAAGTTGAATTTTTTAAATCATAATTCCGAGGATCAGATTAGAAATAATAGAATTAATTTAACCTTTATTCAAACTTTTGTTGTGACGTTTAATTGCTTCAAATGTGTTTCACTGAAACTGAATTCAAAAGAATATCCTGCAGCAGCAGAATCCAACTTTAAGGTTTACTTGGATGATCAATTCAAAGCAAGCCCACCTCATCTGAGACTTTGCATGAAAGTCCTGCATATCTGAAGTCCTAAAGTAATAATGCAGTAAAGAGTTTCTACCAATGGAAGAGTGGCAAATGTTTTACTTTTCCCCTAACCATCTTTTCAAACATCTTTTTGATGTAGACTTCAGTGTATAAATCAGCTTATTCTTTTCCCAAAAAATCAGGATGTATGAAGAATCTAAAATCAGCTAGTCTCAAATGCAAAAAAAGCCCTATGCCAAAATAACCAATTTAATTATACAACGTAAATCCTTAGGATATGGCATCAGGACTATATGATGTGAGGATGAAACTATCAAAGGCCTTTCCCTGCTTTGCTTCCATCTAGTAAGTTTCAGCTCCATTGTGAGTCCTCTTTTACAAACTATTATTATGGCATATATAGATATATTGAGATGTATCTGTCTTAAATCAATGATGTCATGGGCGCTCTCCAGTGGATACCCATGGCATCCTCATAATTGTATTCTAATAGGTTCTTCTAGTTGTGATAAATAATCACATTTGTTTTTCCCAGCACCAATCTAATGTGATCTGAATGCTGGGAAAATGTAGTATCTCTGAAACTAAGGGCTTCCTCAAGCCTGGGTCCATGTAACAGAAGAGCAAGAACGATGCAACAAAATCTAGTCTTTGAGTAGATGCTGGCTTGTTCCTGCTAAGTATGGAGTAATAAAGTTCCATAAAGATAACTCTGTTCCTCAGTTCGATCACCCAGAAGCTACACATGCCCAGTTGATCAGCCTAGTATTACCCATTTATAAAGGAGGAGTGCAGCTAATTAGCAATATAAAGGATCTTATCTTTAATTTTAATTTCCTCATCTCTCCACTAACCCCTTTTATTGCCGCACCATACTTTTTTTTCAATGCTTGTCACCGATCCTATACCAAATCCCATCATCATATCACTTTCAGACAGCTACAAATTATTCATCCCTGTGATTAAAAAATAGAAAGGTTTCTAACAGGAGATCAAAGCTGTTTCCTTCACTGTACCTGCACCTCACCACATCACTAGTAGTCATTTTGATCTTTCTCCCTAAGAGAAGCATTTGTTTTCCCTCATGGAGAAAAAAGAGGCATTTGAATTATTTTAGGATATATTCTGTAAAACTGCTCTTTTCCAGCATTGTTGGATTCATGAAAGTCACTGCTCCAGTGTTAGAAGCTCCCCAGCAGAACAAAGCCCCTTGGTTTGACTAGGAAGCAAAGGTTTAAAATTGTCTCTCCCACTTGGGTGCCCTCCAAGTGCCTCCAAATATAATTTCCATCATTCCCAGCCAGCATGCCAAATGCTTTGGATTAGAAGAAGATCAAGAATTTAGACTGAAGGAACACAACTGATCAAGAGGAGGGGCAGAGTACACAGTGTCTGAAATAAAAACTCATGGGCCTAAGACTGAATGGCCAGGTCAACTGGGCCTCAGGACAGAGATAGGAGAATAGGAAAGATCAAAATATGAGCTCAGTTTTATACTGACAGCACGCAGGATGTTTCATTCTATTGGCCGTCTATCTATTCTTTGATATACCCCCCACCTTAACGCCATAAATTACAAAGATAGATCCAACAAATCAATACTTGATGAGCTTCTGCCACTCTCCCTTGTACCTCTATTTACCCTTGTCTTTTGTGGTTTCTTTCCCCCCAATTGTTCTTACCTCCAGAGCTTTCCAAGTGTCTTACTAAGTTCTGCATTGTGAAGGTGAGGATACTGATCGGCCAGCTTCCTCCGGGCAGCTTGAGCCCACACCATAAAGGCGTTCATAGGGCGCTTGACATGGGGCTTGCTCTTGCTGCTTCCATTGACCCGCACGGGCATGGGCACTAGAGTCCAATCATAGCCACTCAGTACCTGGCTCACTGCCTCCCGGATGCACACTGGGAACTTATCATCATCTGCCTCTGTGTCTTGTTGTTCCTTCTTCACTTTCCCCATCTCACCACTGCCAGAGTTGGTAAGATGAGAGTTGGCGTCTGATGCCATGGAAGGTCCTGGTGAAAGGCAGTGATGGTCTTCAGAACCCACAGGACTCATTTCTACTTCAGAAAGGTCTTGATCATCTGTCATTGTTTCCTCTTGATTTTACTCCTCAAAAATCAAGTCTTCAAGCTGGAACCACCATTAAAAAAATAAATATGAATACTAAAGTCAAAAGTGTTCAAAATTCCTGAATAATCAAACAAACAGCCAGTAGCCATTAAAAAAAAAGATCAGGACTATGGTTTATCACTTTATGAAACTTGCAAAATCCATGATCAAAAATGGGAGGTGAAAGTCTAAATTAATTGATGCTTCCAATACTTGTTGGGAAAGTTTCTAACATGGCAACCCACTTTTTGAGCACATGAGCATTAAACAAAGATTGGGGTGGTCTTAGAGGGGTGTGAAGAAAAAAAAATCTCCATGTTCTAATTTGTCCTTTTAAATTCCAAATATGGCTTCTAATTTAAGCTTCTTTTAAGATTGGAGTCAAGAATATTGGCAGTGGAGGAGAAATAGGTGGTATTAAAGGATCATAACAAGAACGCCTTGTGATTGTGTAAGAAGTACATTTCAGAATGCGTCTTTAACACACTGTGCCCTTTGAAGCCAACAGGTAAAAGCAGCATAGAGGGGATGCAAATATTTTGTCTTTGGGTCCTCTTCCTGTTTCATTTACGCTCTCATTAAGGGGGGGGGACCTTATAGGAAATTCAAAGCTGCTAGCTTTAGTTTGTCATTACTTCTTACTTCTACCACCACTTAGTTCCTGTGAGATATTATCCAACCATAGGGAAACAATACTTAAAAATAAAGTTGACCCAAACACCTCCAATGAAATTAGCCAAACCAAAATTTGGCCGCCTTTTATGTTTGCAGTTCTGTATTTACAGTATTTTGAAGAGAACAGTAGTAACTTTGATCTGCTAAAGGAATAACTGAAGTGAAAGCTGTCAGTTAGTTAAAAAGAAGGGAGAGACGGAGAGGAAAAAAGAGAAGGAGCAAGTTACCAAGCGCAGGTAAGGAAACTTACCTCAGCCGGTCTCTCGGGCAAATCCTGAGTTAGTTGTAATTTGTATCCCACTAGCCTCTCTGTTCTCTGTTCTCTGTTCTCTTTTCACGAGGCTGGTAGCTTTCAAGAGCTGTGTGCTGGGAGAACTATCAGAAGTGCCATTCCTAATGCCCTGCATGAATGTCTCTGTGACTGGCTCGTTGCTTAACACTGGGGGAGGGAAAGTCAAAGGGTGGAGCTAAGAGCTCTTTATGGCCCAAATACATCCATTGTATGCAGACAGGAGACGTTAAGCATCCTCACCAGCTACATTTCAGCCCCCATCTCAAATTAACACTTTTCCATTTTGAGGCCTATTTTGGAGGTGGCTGTAGTCAACTTTTATTTCATTTCTTCAGAAGTTTAACATCAGACCTTCCTCCCCAAACACTCTTTTTCAAACCATCCTCTGTTTGAAAAAGGACCATGTATGTTAAGGACCACTTTGTTATATCATTCCTCTACAGAATGAACAAACTTTGTGTGTCATTCCCTGTGATGGCTACACCCACAGTTTTATTTTTATTTTATTTATATACGTGTATCTATGAGTGTGTGAACATTAGCCAATTATTCAGTACATGCATCAGCTGAAAACATGATGGCCTCCATGTATGTACAGTTATGGAATTGTCTTTAGGATGAAGCGTGCTTTTCTGATGTTAGGCAAGCTTCAAACCCTTTTTACTTGAGTGCTCTGTGAATCTCCAAGATAAATGCTTTTATCTTACACAAATAGTTCAGAATGTTCCAGGAAACAGAAAGAGCAATCTAGAAAGAGTTGTAACCTATTTGTCCATTGCCAGGTGCAGTTAGGCTCTACTTCGGTTGTTGTAGACTCCATCCTTAAAAGATACTGAGGACAGGGCACTGGCGGATTAAGAGCTTCCCCACTGCAGGATGATTTGGAACCGTTTTGAAAGTGTTGTTCTGTGGGAGGAGGAGATAGAATTTGTGCCTTTATGTAGTCGTTATTGTTGTTGTCCAATCTGTAATGAGAATTCCCTTCTATATAAACACTCCTGAAATGCAGATTAAAAATAAAACATACCCCAGTGCAGTGACTTGCGTCTGATGACTGGTATCTAGCACATTCTCAGAGAACAAGGGCTAAAACCATCTCTCCTAGGATTTTTCTACATTCTTGTGGAGAAAATACACAGACAAAAATACTTTTCTACATCTTTTTTTCTCTTTGAGTTACCATTTTAAGACTCCAACCATTTCTGCAATGTTAATATCGGGGAAACGGGCCCACAGAAATGTAACAGAATCCACCGGAGATAGCTCCAGAGATGCAGTAAAACTCAGAAAGGACATTCCCCCAACTCTTTTTACTCCTAGCACACCATTTGAGTACCCAAGCGATCATTTTAACTGTGATGCCTGACAGTCCCCATTCCAGATCTGAAATATATATTATAATATAAATCAGATTATGGTATATTTGGGACCTTTGGTGAAATCTGGCACTGTGTGAGCTGCACTGTCTTTTCTTTTGTCAGAGGCTGACAAATCATGCCTCAAAACAGGGAAGGGCAATGGAGTTGCTGCATTTTTGTCTACCCTACTTTTGAGGACAATACTGCTGCCTTTCTCTCCTGTTGTTGGGAAGTTAACAACAACGTTGTAGTACTTGCTCCAGCAAACAAGGATGGGTGAAGGCAGTCTTGGAATAGTAAGGCAGACACTAAGAGCAGCTATGATATCAACATGACAGCTGGACTCACAACTATTGCATACAAAGCCATAATTTGTTTAACCATAGTGTATTGAATAAACCACAACTAGCTGGTTTCATGCTGGCTAACATGTTAAGCCAAGGTTTAACGTGCTGTCAATCTCTGGTAACGATATAAGAATTAGACAATCTCCTGCATATTTTGTGAATGTAGATGAGGAGTACCCAAGTGCAACTCTGAAAACCTCTCCATATATTGCCATCCATCAAACTGTAATTTTTAATATGACAGAAGAAGAAAATGATTAAATCCATGGAAAGGACCATATTCATGTATTCTGTTTTGATTTCTTTTATTTCTATAGCACTTTTCTTGACAGAGAAGCACAGAGTGATTTACAAAAGAAAGGGGGAAAGTCTTCAAACAAATTATATGTAAACAAACAAATTATATGTAAAACCAACAAAGTTTAAAAACAATAAATACATAAATTCAAAATGTGTATTTAAAAAACAGATATAAATCATAAAATAAAATAAAATAAAAACAATTTAGACATCAAGCACTGAAAACCAGTCTCAGTATATAGTTTGGGTTTAACACGTTGTATGAACCCAGCTATTGTCCCTAATGCCCTCTTGAACTATTACAGAAGGAGTGAGGTTGGATCCAGGCCATGATACTGGAGGAGGAGACTTAATGCTTTCTCACTGATGTCTTAACTATGTTCCTAATGTCAAGCTGCCATTTGCCCCACTATGGGCAACATATTCAACTGAACTAAGTTGCATTAAGGATGGTAACTGAAGCTGGGTTCATGGGCCACCAAAATGAGAAGAGGCAATTTGAGTGTCACTGAGTGGGTTCATACATTGCACTAAGCTTTATCTACAATTGCTGACTAAACCACAATTGGTTGATTTGAAGGAATGACTGAGGCAAGATATAAATTATATATCTATATACATACATCATGTTTTACAGACCACAGTATTTGGGTTCACACAAGACATGAAGCCAGAACCAATGCAAACTACATTACAATTTAGTTTGCTTTGTAGATCATATTATTTTCACCTACCCTTAGCTCCAGAGGAGTTTTATGCTTGCTGTATTAGCCTTGACCACTTTTCTCTTTTGCCCTTGTGCCAAACAGCAAAGCAGTCATGGAGGAATGGGGGATTTAGGGCAAAACAAAATTAGCAGCAGAATGGTCACTTTCCTCTCTTTTAGCAGTAGTTAATGATGTGGTTGCAGCTCCAGAGGAGTTTTATGCTTGCTGTATTAGCCTTGACCACTTTTCTCTTTTGCCCTTGTGCCAAACAGCAAAGCAGTTATGGAGGAATGGGGGATTTAGGGCAAAACAAAATTAGCAGCAGAATAGTCACTTTCCTCTCTTTTAGCAGTAGTTAATGATGTGGTTGCAACAAAGATTGTGATTGACAAATAATATAAATGTGTAACAATAAACCAGTGTTTCTCAACCTTGGCAACTTGAAGATGTGTGGACTTCAATTCCCAGAATTCCCC